TTGTGAGACAGTAAGAGGTGTTTTCGCTTTCTCGGTTACGGATAGATTCTGCAGAAATTTCAAAAACACACTATGACATAGATATCAAAAATCGTTCTTATTAATAAAAAAGAAATTATTCAATCAAGTTAGTATAAGGTTATTTAACAACTGATTAAAGAATCTTCCTATAGTTAGATGAATATTCTTCACGGTTTCATTGAATTCAATTCAGTCTTTAATACTGAAAGGTTTTCTTATCCGGGAACTCGCCCAGTTCCCTTCATTATCAGCAATGGAATGTGTAACCGATTAGGGTATCTGAGCGAAACGTTACCACTCTGTTAAACAACCTAGGATGCCAGTGAGTAATAGAAAAGTCGCAGCATTTAGGGCAGGTGAGACATATATATATATACATATATTCACAAAAATAATTAGAAATTGCTGAATCAAAATATGGAATTAACAACTCTTACAGGTTCCTGATGTTACCGAACACTCAAGCAAGAATTATCACAAGATATTTAATAAAATCAGAAGAAAAGAGGACTAGCCACCGAGTATGCATATACTTGACTAACGTGGGGTTCCATTTCGGCTCCAGAATTTGAGCCAACTCGTCAACATTATATACGTACTAGTGACTTGATTTTCAATATCTAAGGAAAAGTTTGTTGGAAGGAATTCGTGTAATGGGCTCGCTAGATTGTACTAAAAAAGCATCCTGCTACCATGATGAACCTGATCTAAGCTTCCATGTTTAATGTAAGAATTTATACTTTACGAAACTAAAGAAAAAAAATACTAAGCCAAGAGAAAAGGTGGCCGGCTGCAGCTCTCATCACTTTAAAATACACCTATCCTTACGATCTTAATGGCATACATAAAAGGGACAATAGGACCTATTTAAACATGAGTCAACATGAAAGGATCTTATGTCAGTTTATGTAAGGAAATTTTCGCCACCATATCCACTTCCGGCTCATAAATTAACTTCACACATGTAAATTTTAAGGTAGCCAACCAACGAATTTGATGCACAATTAAGAACGCAAGGATAGGCATATAAGTGACTAAGGTTAAATTATGTCACCTTTTATATTGGTTTAGCATATTTTTGCGTAATTTCGTAATGCATGGATTCTTGATTTGATGTCGGTCGAGGTACAGACAAAACCTTAGCACGGGTTCATCGGGATCGCAGGGAATTAAGCCGAGAACCTCTTCGTACAATACGACAGTCTTAACTCCGCGGAAATCCTGCTTCGGTTTATAATACGACACTTTCACGAATTCATTAAAACCAACTTTTCCTTAAAAAAATTGAAAATAATTGAACATATTAAGACCAAGATGTTGTGGCCTCTGGTATGGTCGCAGTCTCCTTTCGATTTATAAAAATGGGTTAACCTCGTTGTTGCAACATGGTCTTGTTGTCAGGGCGACTTAGTAGAACGCACCTAGTCCGAAGTCGCGGACATAGTAGTTGTCATGATTCCCAGCATCAAACAGTGGACATGGTACATTCTCAAAAGTTTCTCCGGCATCATCAGTGAGTTTTGCCATTCTCCGCATCAACTAACGAACTCGTCAGAGACAAGTGAAGTAATTTTCTCGACAAACGTTCGGCCGAAAACGGTAATACTATCACTCCTCTTTGTCCTGGTCTATCTATCTACTCTTTACCCTCTTATCCCACTTCCGCTCTATCACAAGTTTTCACTTGTTTACATTCCACTCGTCAAAATGTGTGTCCTTTTGCAGCAAATCCAGTGTGGCCTCATAACACTTGCTATTTACCCCGATCCCTCTCTTTCTATCGGATTATCCGACTTGGGCCTCCAATCCGGATCCCTTCATTGTTTCGTAGATCCGTTCATTATCTTTCTGGTTGACCGATTTCACTCAGTTCCAGACACTGTATGCATTTCACTCCAGTCGCATCACTTACAGAAACGTCTTCGCTTTATTGCCGAAAACCTCTTCCCCTCATTTTATTCCTCGCGATCCCTTTTCCTCCCATTAGCAAGAGATGTTTAATTCGGGCGTCTCCTCTTTGCTGGTCTTGCTCCATTCTTGTTTTCCCCTAGTTTGCTTAGGCAGTAGGCAAAGTATTCGCTAACTCTACCTTCATCCAATCTCCTGTTCATTCAATTTTTCTCCCCAATGTCAATGGCCTTCTTGTGTTGTCCCGTATAAAGCTCTTATTTCGGTTTCCTTCCAATTGATCTCGTGTCCAGTCTGTGCGATGTGTTTCGCTAGTTCTGATCTTTTATTATCCATTTTCCTGCAGAGCCTCTGATCTTCCTTGATTCGTGTGCTAATTTTTCTCCCTGTTTCGCCAATATATTTCTGATCGAAGGCGCTGCATGATATACAGTAAACTCCTGAACAATCTAATTTGTCTACTATTTCATGTTTCGTTGGTAGAATTGTGAAAAGTGTTGATTTCTCTGTCATGAACACATGAATATTCAATTTACTCAATATTGTTCAAAAAGAAGTCCTATGCTGGGATAATACTCAATTTCCGGTCGCATCACAATTACAGGCTAAAGATTGGAATAATGAAGAGCATGATCATCCGGAGCCTACGCCTAACAGATGCAGAATTATGGGACGAGGAGCTGGACAAATTGACGGGGTCATTCCTCGGCAGTGGCTACCATAGTGAAGTAATACAAATAAACTTACGGGCCGCGAAAAACCTATGGCAGAACGGGGACTTTGAAAGGACGGTAAGGAAGATGAAGCATTCACAAAAGTGGATATGCCTACCTTTCTGCGAACAAACTCAAAAACTGCAGACAATATTCAGTAAATGGAATATTCAGGCGGTCATGAGGGAGAAATCAACACTTTTCACAAGTCTACCAACGCGACATGAAAGAGTAGACAAATTTGATTGTTCAGGAGTTTACTGTATATCATGCGGCGCCTGCGATCAGTAATATATTGGCGAAACAAGGAGAAAAATTAACAAACAAATCAACGAGCATCAGAGGCTCTGCAGGAAAATGTATAACGAAAGATCATAAATAGCGGAACACATCGTACAGACTGGACATGAGATCAATTGGAAGGCAACAGAATGAAGAGCTCCATACGGTGACAACACAAGGAAGCGAAAGATTAGGGAAGCCATTGACATCCTCGGATAGGAAAATTTAGTGAACAGGAGATTGGAGGAAGGTAGAGTTAGCGATAACTTTGCCTACAGCTTAAGCAAACTCGAGGAAAACAAGAATGGAGCAAGACCAGCAAAGAGGAGACGCCTGGATCAAGCATCTACCGCCAACAGGAGGAAAATGGATCGCGAGGAGTAAAGTGGGGGAAGGGGTTTTCGGCAATTAAGCGAAGACGTTGTCAATGGTGATGTCCATTTCGAATAAACTAGTACAACTTTGGGGGCCTGGTAGTCAGGGAGCGGGGCAGACGGATAAGCAAACCGTCACAGAAATTCGGCGTTATGCCCAAAGTGCACTATAAATCCACTTGAGATGCCGCATGCGGCAAGAGATAGGCGTCCAAAGTTTGCTCAGATAACGTGGATTTAATCAAGGACCCGTGAAGGCCTGATGTCTGCAATCATGGCATTCAGGGCTTAGGCGCTCTGCTCAGTGAAGCGGCAGTGTACCTGCTTTTAGGGCCTTGAGAAATAGCGCCTGGAGTGAGATGCACACTGGGACTGGAACCGAGTGAAATCGGTCAACCAGAAAGATAATGAACGGATCTACGAGAGAATGAAGGGATCCGGATTGGAGGTCCGAGTCGGATAAGCCGATAGAAAGAGAGGGATCGGGGTAAATAGCAAGTGTGATGGGCCACACTAGATTTGTCACAAAAGGGCACACATTTTGACGAGTGGAATGTAAACAAGTGAGAAATTGTGATAGGGCGGTAAAGAGCAGATAGATTGACCAGGACAGAAAGAGAAGTGATATTGTAACCGTTTTAGGCAGAACTTTTCTCGAGTGAATGACTTCACTTGTCTCTTTGATGAGTTCGTTGCTTGGTACGGAGAATGGCAAAACTCAGTAATGATGCCGGCAAACTTTTGAGAATGTACCATGTGCACCGTTTGATGCTGGAAATTATGACAACTACTATAGCAGACGACTTCGGACTAGGTGCCTTCTACTAAGTCGCCCTGACAACAAGACCAAGTTGCGACAACGAGGTCAACCCATTTTAATAGAAAATCATATTACAATAAATCACTAAGGAATTCTTCGAATCCAGTTTTATTTATATTGCATACAATCAACGCACATGTCATTAGACATAAATACTCAGCAGCTTTGTAAGATCAAGTGATGGCTGTGACCGTATTATAAACTCTTTTATGCATTAACTATATGCATCTGAAAAAAATTAAGATAAGAATAAATAGGCCAAATCAAGGTATGACTCATTAAGACGGTCAGGTAAACAGGATTTGAGTTGGCTACATCTCCTATTTCAGTGTTTGCAAGTGATGGTTTCCGGCACTGATGTTGTCCACCACCTGACAGATAGGGGCTCATTATGGGATAGTCCCAGCGGCAATGATAGTAAGTCGGTTTCACATGATGTCGAATTGCAAGTACCTTCCACTCATTTGTTTTAAAACTAGAAGAAATTAAGGTATTATGTGTATCCTCCAAAGCAACCTATTATTCATATTCATCGTAAATACATGTTTGCAGTATCGGCAATGTAACTATAAAATGGGATTAGGAAATGGCATGATTAATCTTAAAAATAGCATCAATCATATTACAAATATCAACCGGTACAGTATAAGGCTGTGATACGATGCGCAAGATCCCTTGTCTGACTCAGTTCACTGGTGAATAGACCTAGGCGAGGTTAAGACTATAGTCTATTTTGAGAGGCAAAACTAAACAAAATTAAATGGAGTGAGGCCTATGCAAATTATTGTTGGAAAATTCCTTAGGCCATATTGGAAAACCAAGGATAAGTTACTATTTAATAATTACTGGGAATGTTGAAAACTAAAGGCTGCATAAGCTTAAGTTCACCACCAAGAACTGTATTTATTTCATAATCTAAAAGAAAACGAATACAAAATTTTACTTAGCTAATATTTTTTTAAGGAATGACAGAAATTACACGTTTTGAGAAGTTTTCAAATGAAAATTAAATTTATCTGAATATCTTTGTATACCTAATTTAATTATATTATTTTAAATTTCTGAGGATACATAATGAATTCTAATGGTAACAAGTGAATTCCTAATTAATACTGTTTAAATTATGTTGATCTTTTAGCAAATAATACATGCAATTTATTGAATTTATATGATCCTCCAAGCGTTACAGTCCTTATTGATACGAAGATTAACTAGGTTTCGATTAATCTTTTAAGATAGCATTGCTAGGGAGACCTTTATTTCGTATGGAGAAGGGATTCGTAGGTTGATCTCACCAGAATACGACGGCTAAATCCAGTTGTAACGCAGCCGTTCGGCTTTAATACAACATTGGCTGACGCAATCCACTAGACATTCTCCCTCGCTTCGAGTGAAAACGGGCTGAGCTTTCGTTAATCTTATGATGGACATCATTAGAGGTGGAATTTATTCTTGAAAGTCTCATATTAGCGCTAGTTCAATAAGACTATCCGGCTCTATCTCACCTCTTATCTATACTCAACAAAAAACAATAATGAAAAGACAGCTAGATATAGGATCGTTTGGCTAATTATCTTTCATACTGCTCCTTCTACTTTTGCCCGTATGTGTGTGTGTTAACGTCTATACGCAATACCGGTCCTAAATCAGAGTAATCAAAAAGGCTAATGTGAAGCTCTGGCTGTCAAGGCTTAACAAACCAAGAAAAAGCCCCGGCCGAGACTGCATAAGTCCGTAAGCAAGTATGGTTGAGATAATGAGATGTAAACTTGTAAGTGTGTAAGTCAAGTTACGAAAGCACCTACCTAACCTCAGTCCAGGATCATTAACGTTTAGCCACCCAAGGAATGGCATGACTGGGGCTGCGTGGACAACCCGTTAAAGAGGCAAGTGAACTCATTTCCTGCATAAGTTTCTGTCGAACGGTTGTGGTATCACTCCCCTTTCCGTCCTGGCCAATCTATCTAGTCCTTACCCTTTGTCCCACTTTCATTCTATTCTGTCATTCTCTCTGGTTTCAAGCTGTGTGTAATTTCATTCATTTTCCAACGGGACAATTATCTCAAACATGCAGACGTATTTGGAGTATAACAGCCAGAAGAAAATATGGCGGGCAAGGTAAATAACAGGTTTTATGACGGCCCACTGAATTCACCAAAAAGGTCACACCTATAATGGAGTCGAATATAAACAAGTTAACATTTAGTATACAACGGGTGAGGATTAGATAGATAGGCCAGGACAGAAAGGAGTGATAGAACAACCGTTCGACAGAAACTTAGGCGAGAAAATGACTTGACTTGCCTCTTTAACGAGTTGTAGTGTCATGCTGAGAATGGCAAGACTCACTGACGAGGCTGTCAAAGCATCTGGGAGTGTACCAAGTTTACGGTCCAAAACAATCGAATTATAACAAATACAATAACAGAGGACCTCGAACTGCGTGCGTTTAATTAGGTCCCCTTGAAAATGCGAGCAAGTAGTGAAAACAAGATAAGATCAAATTAATAGGTAATATTGCTAAAAAGTTATCAATTGGGTAAACATTTGTATGAGATTTTTAGAAATTATGAAATAGGCATAGTTATTGGAAGTATACCCAGACTTTTGTGCCCTACAGAAATTAGCATTAAATCTCTACAAGGATTGCAAATACGTATACCAGGAAAAATATTTAATGGTTCGAGATAAGTTATGCTTTTGTTTGTATAAAAAAACAGAGCCTATGTTATCGAGTGATCTCAGGGCTATAATACATAGCAATATATGGTAATGCATAGATTACAAGCAAAAATAATTACATGTTAGGGGTGAGTCTGCTTATGAAACTCATGTCTCGTCTTGAATAACAAAGTTTATTCAACTCAAATGGTTATGTCAACTAGCCAAACGTAGTATGTAAAGCATGGGTTTGACCGGTATGAAGTATTTGTGTCCCATTAAAGCGAGAGGTGAAGAGTAAACGTGTCTTTGGTGCGTTAAAATTGGAACCGATTACTGCGCTTTGGGCAGGCGACTAGGGGAGATCAAGTGCCAACCAGGGTTTTCATCAAGTAGCTCAGCGGCTTTTTCACAATCGTTCAGCTGATCAAAAAGAGCATCGGCCAATTTCTCCATCGAGAGCAGCTCTATAGATGCGTTTTGGTAGGTCGATGACGCCGCAAGGAGGTTAGATATAGCTGTGTGAGGTCGGCATTCACCACCAACAGATAAGAGATGCTTAACCAGCTTCTGAAAAGTTTACAAGGAAGTAAGATGGTTGCTACTATCAATAAGTTCAAGTCGAATGATTGTAGCTTTAAAAAAAGCACAAATAGGCAACCGATTAACACATAAATAATCTGGTGAGGGAAAATAAAGTAATAAGTTCATTGTTGATCACCGTCCGTCTGTCAGTATAAGCGATGGTGCATTCTAGCAAAGTTTAGCTTGGCATTTGCATTCGTCTAAGTAAGACGATAGTATAAGTAACAATTATATATACATAAAAATACAGCTGCTAAAAAGTAAAAGAAAATACATATAACCATCTAGGTTTGATGAGCATTAATGAAATCCAGCAAGCCTAATGATATTCCACTCACAGCTATTCATGAAAACTCCAAAATTCCTCAACATGGACGACTACCGGGAATTTTAGCGCCATAGAAATAAACTATGGAGGGTGATAATTTTGTAAAACAATAAAAAAAAAGATCACCTCCCCAGCCGAGCTGTTCCAAGGGTCAGTAGCGAATCCACAATGGCGCCACACCAAAGTGGCTCCGGCTCGCGCCATTAAGTAGGAGTAGTAGCGGGCGCCATAGCCAGCCAAATGGGCAAACCTATGTGGCCAGGCAGATATGGACGCATCAAGTTCCCTTTTGTCTACAGGTGTCTGTATATGCAGCCAGTCACTACAATAAGTATTCTGCAGGCTGATTAGAAGACGAGCCGAAGCAAGAGAGTCTGAGGGTCCAGAGCGGCTAATTGCTGGGCGAATGCCGGGAGAAGAATGACGAGAAGGGATGTCGTAAGGTGAAAGCACGACTTGTGGAGGTCCGGAGTGCAGATGTTGGTCTAGGAAGGCATAGGTGAGCTATGAATAAATCCAGTTAGCAGGACAAAAAATTGTAATGAATGAGCTGAAGAGATGCTAACTATCTCTGTGAGTACATTCTTATAAAGCTAGCGAGGAATGAAAGGAAATGAGAGATTATGAGCATGTAAGCTATTCCACAAGGAGCTGAAAGAGAATATGCATGGGTGATGGGCTAAGATAGGCAAAAATGCTAATAATTTTACAATCCAATCAGCCATGGTCTTAAAAAGCCTTAGACTCTGAAAACGCAAATACACCATCGAAATTGCTTGGGATGGGTTGTGTATGCCAATCCAGCCAAACTGACTTCAATATAAGGATAAGGCCAAATCCATGTGTAAGAATTTTGACATTATCGCAAAGCCCAACAATTCGTCATGGTAACAATGCTACTGGATCCTGAAGTAAAAATCCCATAGAGTAATCGTTTTTTTATATTAGCTAGGACCAAAATCGTTCATCTTGACGCGGTGTAACGAGGTCCTAAAAATTAGTTGAATGAATAGGTCCATTATAAGCAGAGATTTACAAGATGAGCCTCAATATGTAATCTATTTGCTAGGTGTACAAAGCGAGTGGTTGAGATTTTGATTTACTGATTTAAAGAAATCAAAATGAGATGCCATTGAATCCCAGCAAAATAAATATTTTGTAACTAGTCAACAATATCAGCCCGCAATTATGACACTATAAAGAAAATTAAACATTAATAAGAACATTGAAAATTAGCGATCTGAATATCCCCTAAAAATAATAAACGCAGATAAATTGCATCGATTAAAACGATCAACATTGGTATTATAAATATGAAGACCAAGATGCAACGGCTTCTGTTGTAGTAGGTCACAACTTAATGGGTAAGATGAACTTAACAATAAATACCACCGAACTATCCAACGATAAAGAGTACAATAACATAAAAAAGCATAGAAGTTGTTTGAACTTGTTTTCGCAACTTAGTCATATTGGTAGGAAGACTTAGAACGCACCTAGTCCAGATTCCATAGTATGCATGATAATTTCCAGACGTGGTACATTCCCAGATGTTTTGCAGACATCGCCACTGAGCTTGGCCATTCTTAGCACCACACTGCAACTCGTCAAAAAACAAGTGAAGCCGATTGTCTGCTAAACTTGTCTCTTTGACGAAATGTATTGTGGTGCTATGAATGACAACGCTCACTGACGATATCGACTACGATGCCGGCGAAACTTCCAGTTCGACTCTGGAAATGATCATGCATACAATGGACTCCGGACTAGGTGCGTTCCTCTAAGTCTTCCTACCAATGTGACCAAGTTGCGAAAACAATGTTAAAAAACTTCTATACAAAGGAGACTGTGACCCTACAAAAGGGCACACCATTTTAGTATTTATACCATAGATTTAAAAAAACATATTTTATTCAAAAAAGCGTTAAGAGCTCGCACAAGGCTAATCCAGGACACCAAATATGGCATAAAACAATGCAGAATGACAAAACTGGTTATTTGTCTACAATTATGTTAAGGAACAAGGAAACTACTCAAATCGTGAGAAATTTCGATATAGATGCTCCATCAGATAGTTTAAAGTTATAAAATTAAAATAAGCACGGAATGCGGCACTGTGATATTTTACAATCATCAACTAAAGATGAAGCACCTGTATAGATTGTGGTCAAGGTTGATGAAATTACAATGTTTAAAATAAGATGAATTAGAAATATTGAAATTTCGGGAAGCTGGAGCTAGCGTTAGAAGGTATGAAGACCAAGATGGTGTGGCCTTTTGTGTGGTTGCAGTCCCCTTTCGTC